TAGGTACAAACTATCAACAATTGTTGATACAGTTACATTTTCTATAGTAGTATAAGTTCTTGAAAAAAAAACTTCTGGCATCTTGTGGGTACAAACTACCAATGTAATGTAGATACGAACTATCCGTACACTCTTTCTATTAATGATTGGTAGTATTAAGCTACATGCTAGCAATAGGCTCTAACTACTATAGTACGTTATACGTACAAACTAATATCGTACGCTCTGTGTTCGTTCTTGATACACATCACTGCTATGCTTCAGATACAACTTAGTAGTTTGCCTCAGTTGTGATAAACCAGAAAACTCTGGGTACAACTGCCAGTACGCTGTAGATGTTGTCTATCCTATAGGATATCATTCTTCTCACAATTTAGAATATTTTCATTTTGCTTTAAGTATCGTACTATCGTACACTGTGATATTGGTGGCTGCATTTGGGAAGAGGCTTCATATAACAACATCAAATTCGTAAATGACAATAATGATTTAAAAATTGTTACCATTGATGAGGTTTCCGGCCAGTTGGGACAGCACGTGAACACATGGCGGGGTTAAACGATATTATTTGGATTTCTACTCTCTTCTTTTTAATCTCAATCAATGGATTAACAAATGGTATTTTAATGAACGTACAGTACAAATCAGTATTAAAAAAGGTGAACGGACAGAAAGTCTCAGGACAAAAAGCCACAGGACATAAAGTCACAAATTTGATACGACAAAAAGTCACAGGACAAAAAGTCACAAATAATTTGTTTATAATTGTTTAAATATATAAGAGAAAGTTCTTGGAATAATTTCTTTTTATTACACATTTTCATTTAACCGTTCAGGAATTGTTTTATGCCTTTATAAATGAAGATGTTTCAACTGTCTATCATGAACTTGAGGATAAATTCATGTCACCATGAAGCCATTTAAGTACCAAGCCACCTTGACAAATTGTTTTCGTAACGAGTATTTGATAATTATTGATTTTGATTGGAATAATTTGTTAACAGAAGTTGCTTTATATACAATAGTCAAAGAAAAATACAAAAAATATTTTTTTTATGTAAATCAAATGTTTTCTTAATCAAATAAAAATAATCTCAAAACTGAATTGTGACTTTTTGTCCTGTGACATTTTGTCCGCGACTTTTTGTCCGTGACTTTTTGTCCTGTGACTTTCTGTCCTACATTCTTAAAAAAATACTTACCTCAGTGATATCGGTAAAATATAACGTACATACATTGATCGGTTGATGACGCTACTTTCAGCACTATTGTGCTATTTCGTGGCGGTCAGTTTTTATTGGTAAAGGAAGCCGGAGTGCCTGGAGAAAACCACCGACCTTCAGTAGGAAAATTGACAATCCTAGCCAATTACGCTACTTTCAGCACTATTGTGCTATTTCGTGGCGGTCAGTTTTTATTGGTAAAGGAAGCCGGAGTGCCTGGAGAAAACCACCGACCTTCAGTAGGAAAATTGACAATCCTAGCCAATTAAGATTGAAGTCGAATGCATCTGCCTCGTGCGGGATTCGAACTCACAAACTCAATGTTGACAGGCTAGTGATACAGTAGTTCGACTACTAAGTTCGACTACTTAGACCACTCGGCCACCGAGATCCCTAACTTACATACAAGAACCATCACAACAGTAATCATTAATACCGTTTCAAGGAATGCTGAAATAAGATCGAGTACTTAGCTTACTGATGTAAAATTATGTCGTTCAACACTGTAATATCAATACTGTTTCGGGGAATGCTGAAATAAGCTCGAGTACTAAGCTTACTGATATTCAATCATGTCGTTCAACACTGTAATATCGGTGGTTGTACTTCTGAGTTAACAAACTAATATAAAAAAGGGACGATCTTTCGTTCCCTATTATTAATTTTACTTTTTTGGGGTGTGATGTTTCTTTGGCTCTATCGTACGGTGTTTATTATCCCAACTCGTTCGCAATGCCCGTGTTTGTAGAGAGGTAAAGATTTCAATAAAAGTAATGTAGTTTTCTCGGTATGAATTGTCTTGCATTTTTCATGTCGAGTCCTTTTTAAAAATCTTTCTTTGCGGTATGGGTTTTGCTCATTGTTGATGGCCGTACGATAACCGTCTTCGTCATTTGGTCTCTGGTGTAGAAAGTCGTTTCATCAGCATTCTTACGACATCATCTTATTTTGTATTACAGGAAAAGTACTAAGTTAGGGATTTCGTTTCCACAAATTGATTAAAACCTTTAGTAAATTATTTTGTAGAGTTATATAAATATTTCGCATGGAATTTTGCCTGTACCTAAAGAAAACTTATTCCAACGCAGTATCACATTCCTCATGTGTACGGCGATGGCGTTTATAGAGCCCGTAAATTTAAATACGATTCATGTAAACTTATAAAAATCTTTGAAAACACTAATTCTAAAAAAAATATCAATTAAACACTATAATAATATCTTTTCATATTGTTTTCACCGGATTTGTTATTAGTAAATGAACACATAACTAAACATGTACAGTTATGAACACTTACGGTCCTAAACCTGTCGATTCTTAAACATATTACGAACGGGATAGCACATTCTCATTTAACGGGGATGTTGATTGCAGAGCCTGTGAATTAGATACGAATTGTGTATACTACTCGATCTTTGGAATAAACTATCTAGAAGGTTATCAATTTAACACTGTAATAAGATACCTGAACTTTGTTTTTATCAGTACTGACATTGATTTTGTTATTTGTAAATAAACACATAACTAAATGTGTACCTTTATACAGAAATGAACAGTTATGGTAAAACATCCTGTCGACACCTATATTTTGGTATTGTACAAGGGCAGGTTTTTCTCGGACTATTTTCCAATGTCTTTACACTAAATCCACATTATATTAGTGCCTGTCACAATCCAGGACTGTATATCACAAAAAACGTACTGATTGTTCAAGACTTACGATCAATTTTATTCGTAAGATGTTTGGTCAAACCTTGGCCAGGGGCCTGTAATTCATTGGTTGTCGTTGCTCGCTGTCGTTTATTTTTGTTTTTAGTTTTGTACATAAATCAGGCCGTTGGTTGTCTCGTTTGAAATGTTACACACTATGTCGTGTTGGGGCCTTTTATAGCTTACTATACGGTATGTGTTTTGCTCATTGTTGAAGGCTACGTCATTTGTTTTCTGGTGGATAGTAGTCTTATTGGCAATGATACCACATTTTCTTATTTTTATAACAAAAATTACAAGAAAAACTCGTGTGCAATGCCAGAGTAAATCTGTCCAAAGAATCAATGCAAAAAATAACGAAAAGAAAAGAAAAAAAATCTTTCAAGTAATTTGGCGAATTGAAGGTAATCCAAAAAATACCGGACGCAAATGATTAAAACAGCAACAATGTTATCAAAATCTTTATCTTTAAACCTATTAAGCCAAAACAAAAAATGATTAGGAAAATATCTACTCTGGTTTGCATTTTTATCATAAACACTAATGGTGTGAAATGCTACTTGTCTTTAATCCTGGAGATAGAGGAGTACCAAAATAAATCTCTTTTAACATTCATTACATTTTTTTTTAAAATGACAAAGAAAAATGTTCTTATCTAACAAATTCAAAATACACATTCAACAATCAGAAGCAAACGAAATTATATTAATTTATTTGTATATTTCGAAAAAAAACTGGATTTTTAATGCAGTGAAACCTGTCTAAATCGAATCTTCATAAACCGAAAACATGTCTAAATCAAACATGTTCTTAAGTCTGGTTTCTTTGGGTTTTTATGAAGTTCGGTCATGTTTTGTTTTTCATAACAGTTAGAGAACACATTGCGTTAAGAGGGACACAGTTACTTCAAACCAATTACTTTTTTTTATTTTTGGATTGCGATCTTATTAACATATACCTAAAATGTTTTCTAACCAAATACTGTATCGTATGACATTGCAGACGTTTCCTTCCATTCACCCCGTGTCATAAAACGCATATTTTTTTTCCTACTGAAAAACTTAGGTATATATACATAGAGCAAATTCTCTATATTAAAATACAACATTAACTTTTTATAAGTTAGCTTAGTGATTGCCAACAATAAAAGGCAACAAAATAAAAATCAGATTCAAATAATTTTTAAATCTAACAGAAATCGAATTTAAATATTTACCAATGCTATTCATACACACGATTTATTTGAAACACAAATTAAGGGCATCTTTTTTTAAACCTGAACTTAAAAGAAAATATTTAAAATGTTTAAATTCTCTGTGAAAATGTTTCAGTTATCAAAATATGATATGTTCATATACGTCAGCGCAAACAGTATCCTAAATAGTATTTTAGTAATAATACAATATTAGTTTAGCCACTTGTAGAAATATCGAGTATCAATTAATGTTTCATTATTATTCATTTTACTTAAAATATCTTAAGTGATAGTCTGGTCATTCATTGATTCAAGTATAATTCACAGACCATTTCGATCATTTAAATTCATTTTTACATGAAAGACTCGTACAAATAATTCCTATAATGTATCGAATTTTTCTGGTTTCACCATTTCAGGACGTCTATTAACAACAAACGTTGATTATTCCTATTTAAGCTTGATAAAGTTTTTGTAATCATTTGAAATCCTAAGTTATTTGTACAGCTAAGTTTTTACATTAATTGGAGTTAAATCTTCTGCTTCGGATAAATAGACAAATTGACATCGATTTTAGATAGTATATGTATTAAAAGTTAACCCGGTAGATTTAGTTAACAATCTAACATAGCAAGAGACAACTTCCGAATCAAGATAGTCGGTTCTCCGAATTTTCCCGAGTGATAGCTGAGTTTACGAGCCTCGGAGCTTGGCCTGAATTGAGCAAGGGACTGGAAAAATTAGTGACAACGGCGTAGAGTGAATTTTATAGTACAACTGTGCACTCTGTAAGAAAAAATAACTATGAACCTTGAAATTGGATAAAAAAATACAATATTATTCTGAGTTTTGATTTTTCGGATTTTTTTCAGTGACGCTTACACAGTAATGACGTAATTTACAACTCAGAATGAATGACTTTGAAGCCGACGTTAAGCCACTCTCTGTAAATGCAGTGGTGGAAACAACACCTCTAGGTATGTAGTCGACTTTTTTTTTCTCTCATTTATTTCTTGTTTCAGAAGTTTTTAAATGCTTGATTTCAAAGTAACTGTTACCTTAACCTTCAAATAAAACATCTTTTCACGTAATCTAAAGTTCTCTTTTGTATAGAAAAAAAACATTTTTACCATAATAACAGTAATCGTCATTTAACGTCAGTTCAAGGAAGTAAATAAACTCATCTGATAAAAGATATCAGGATTAAAATTTTGTACGCGTTTTGTTTACAAAAAACTCATCAGTGACGCTCGAATCGAAAAAAGTTAGAAAGGCCAAATAAAGTACGAAGTTGAAAAGCATATAAGAGTAATAAATGCAACTTATTTCTGTTTCACAATAGTATGTATTCCAGTCGTAACACATTTCCAATAATTTGTACTTGGTAACAAAAATTACCTTCATGCATAAAACGTTATAAAAAGCTATATAACACATAGCTGAATTTAAGATCATTGACTTGTAATGTAAATTTCGTCATCAGTTAGATCTTTTATTTGAAACTACTAAATAAATGACGCAGTTGTATATAAATTATATGTGTACATTGACTTAAATTAATATTTTTCTTAAAAAAAAAGAATAAAGAAAATTTCAAATCAATATGACTATATTTTTGCACAGATGTTACCCTATCAAAACAGTTATTAATACAAAATATTTGTGATCATGCAAAGTATGTTTAACTTAGATAATAATATTGATGATTGTAAATGTTTATTTTGATTTTGATTCGGTCGTTTTTGTTCAATTACGCATCGAATTTTCCGTTTAAATTGTATTTGTTAGCACTGCATCCGTTTAATGAATTATCTTTTTTTTTTTATATTAAAGTATTGTTTGTTTAATTATCTTTTGACAAAAAAAAATCATAGTTGATACACACTTTCAAGCTTCTAACAAACTAACAAACGAGGTCAACATACGGTATGTGTTCACCAAAGCTTAAGCTCAACCCTATTGTCTTGAGTTGAAAATAGATATATCCTTGGCAGAGATTACGCAAGATCTGTGATAGCAAATTCCTAAAAGAGCAAATACACATGGGGGAAACAACAGCTAGCCTGCTGGCAATGATTTTTGTACTTCTAACGTTCACATAGTATTATATTTTTGTCCCTAAAACTCTCTCTTTTTATTTCGGTGAGTAGGATGACAAAGTAACAGAGATACAATAAAGAACGCAAAACAAAAACAAGAAAACAGTTGCAATAGCACTTAGCTGTTTAATATCGCTATTACTTGGAACACAGACACATTCACTAGAAGAACAATACTAAATAAATCCGTTTCAAATAAACTCATCATAGATCAAAGAATTCTTGCAGTTACTGTGTTTTTGGTTACATTTGATGGGTTGGTGTTTTATTGTTGTAAACCTTACACCTCTTTATACTCATATTTGTAAAGTTTTAATCTACTTAAGGTTTATTGGAAAAAAAAATTTTTTTTATTGGAATCGAAAAAAAATACTAATATATACTATTTGGTGTCATCGGATATCAAATAATATTTTATTTTCTTTTCAAGGAAGAAATTCAAAATTCTTTCCAAAACATGGCTTTCATTTACTTTTTTTTCAATCAAAATTCTATACAATATTTTTTTTTCTAGATATCGTGTTCCTTGCTTTTTGTGCCAGGTTTCTTTATTAATGCGCACATCAAACATTTCCTAAAAAGAGGAAATTAACATTGAATATTTTTACAAAGAAAGAATATCATATAACTAATAACAGAATGAAAGATTTATTTCAATTGTAGCCTTTTGTTATTTAATTTTAGATTTAATGAAGGTATAAATTGTCACAGGATGGAAACTAACGTTTAGACTTTGGTCGGCCAATTTTATTTCAGGTTTTGGAGTATTTATCAATAATGTTAATAAGAATTCAAAAAAAGATTCCGATAAATAGCCAATAGACAATTATTTACATTGCTTTACGATCAGTTGAACAAAGCACCTTTAGCTTTACATTTGAGTATGTATATTCAATTAGTTCAAAGTGTCTGTTTATTCAGCTTTTATATGATTCGTTGACTCTTAAAGAGTTTAGTACCAAACGCCGAAGAATCAATAGACGCAAGAAAAATATGCGGATATTTGTCATGACCAGATTGATTCTGGTGTTTATATTCTCACTGAATTGTTTGTGCTTTATGAGTAGTCACTGACGGAAACTAAACAAATAATTTGGAATGAATAGCTTTGATTTATTATTTAAGTCATATCTGAATAGTGCAAGCCAAAAATTTATCAACAACAAACTTATCAGCAAATTATAGGCCATAGATTGCAAGAAATGATGCAGAAATATTTGTGAAACATGAATTTAGTTAAACTAGATGCACGCAACAAAAGTTAAAAATCAGCCATTTTACCATACAAACAAGGGTGCAATAGTTTTGTGCAATACGGTAGTGTAGAAATTTCTGTTTTTTTCGGGATTAAACGGTAATTATTGAATAACTGTTTTCTTTACACGTCATTTTGATGACCTCACAGTGTCAGCCTCCCGGATATATAGAAAAACGTATTTATGCTCACTGTGAAAGAGAAGAAAAATGGACGATCTTCGTTTTTCATTTTGACGGACATTTTTTTTAATGGAATCGAAAAACCCTCTCAAATATATGCTTCTGAAAAGTATTGTTTGTTTTCAAAAATATCTTTTGACAAAAAAGTAATCATGATTTGAAATCTCGTACAAATAAAAAATATATTTCCTACAATGTACGATTATAGTGTATTAACATCATGTCGTGTTATAAACTTATGTCTTTTAACTTTTTATTCGCCAAATAACCTGATTTGCATAATACTTAGCATTCAATTTGATTTGTGTAAAAGAATGCGTTGTGCGATTAATTACTTTTTTCTAGCAGCACAAAACAATTTTTGACATTTTTATCTTTGAAACAGTTTACCAGTTTTCCTAATTAATCTTTTCTTGTAAGCAGTAAGGTTAACTTTCGCGAATTTAGAGATGATTTCAATCTTTTCCTATCTTCAAAACTTATCTCCCCTTTACTTGTTTCCTGTAATAGATACTTCTGTTGTTTTTCTGTATAACTATTTATATTTAGCTGTTGATATAGAATATCTGAAGTTACATTGAAAACTACACCACCCACCTTGTATGGCATATCCCGTATCAATGTCCCACATCAAACGCATTGTACCTCATACCATGAACCACATACCCTGTATCACATAGCTTGTATGGCATGTCCTGTATCAAATGTCTCATACCACATACTATGAATCACATACCCTGTATCACATACGAGGTCATACCCGCCAACTTTTCGAAATTTCCATGGGGAATTTTAAGCGCAAGAGAACCTAATGCTCCTCTTATATTTTCATAAGTGTTATAATCAACTTCTACTTTTTTGGATGATTATGAATGTGCTTTAATACCCTTGTTACTCATTACAATGCCTGTTTTGAGGTGTTCACTTTATCTAATAAAGATTTTCAAAAGTCAGGTCAACATCTCTCATTGGGGATATCCCCCATAAATTGGGATAGTTGGCAGGTATTACCTGGTAAATGTATCGCAAATTATTCTGTTCACAGTTGCAATTCAGAACAAATGGAAATTTTTGTATCCGTTTTATTTGTAAATACTAGTAAGCTGAAATATGGTTTTAACGATATTTTAACATTATTTCTATGAGAGAAAAAAAAAACCTATCTTTAAAAAAATCATTGATATTTCGTCTTCAAATGGGAGGCAAAATGCAAAATTCAAGAAGTTTTAATTACAGAAAAATTACAAATACATGAAAGTCCCTTTTTCAGTTGTTTTTTTTTAAATTGAGAACAGTAAGGGATTATGTGAAAAGATTGATACCAACCGTAAAGGATACGTGTTTTGAATTGTAATCTCCCTTTTCTCATTGGAATTTGCCTTGTTTGTAAGACTTAAAATAAGAGAAACATAACTTACTACGGTGAACCTAAAATCTTTGAGTGTCGAGTTTTGTACTTTTAAGAATAATATATTAGTCTTATCTGTTAATTATAAAGTCTGAGGATGGAAGTGTTTAATATGACTTTTGTTAAATATATGTCCCTTGATATAAAGTTGCAACTTTACCTTACCTTTACACACAGATATTTATTAGCAAAATATCGATTACAAAACTACTCCCATCACATGCGTGGTTAAACCAACACAAAGACGAGAAACGTTTTGTCGTTATATAGTTCTCAGTCTTTTAAACGTTTTAATATCACAACGCCAAAGAGATCTAAAGTTCTGTTAAAGCGCTCAAATGAGCAATAGAAGTTTCTCTCTTGATAAAGTCTATTTAGGCGTTAAACGACGTTTGAAATTAATTGAACGACTAAAGAGATATTTAATTTCAAGACAACATCGTAATATTGTATCAAGATATTATCAGGCCTATTTATCATGGATATTATTTTGTGGTTATGATTTATCTTAAACCCGTTATCCGATATCTGTTACAGATCCATCAATTTTCATTGCAGAATTATATTGCTTTAAATTGCTTTTTTATAAGTGTCAACAAAAGAAACTATAAAAGAGAAAGCATTTCCGTAAAACTTATAATGGAATTGGAAACATGATACAAAGCTTAAAGATTGACCAATTGATATAACGCTTACAGAGTGTAGTGTCCCGTCAAAACCATCGATAGAAGGCAGACAACACAAAATGTTGTCAATAAGTGGTATTTGAACTTAAAATTTGAAACGTAATCAATGTCTTATAGATTGTTTGTCATGATTACCTTTTGGGGTAGATCTTTGTCATCTTTTTCCGCAATATATAATAACCGCTATGTTCCGGAACACGGCATTTCCTTACTTTCCGACTTTGTTAGATTTTCTGAATCCTATGCACTCGTTTTTCATTGGATAATTAAACAGTACTTCCTTTTCAAGTTTTATTAGCTTTATGATAAAACCGAGTACCAAGTTGTGTATCCTTACTGCTGTTGACGTATATATTTGCAAACGTAAGGATAGTCGCATTCTTGCAGAAATATTAGTTGAGTCATCACTTTAAGATCATATAAAAATTGCCAAAATCAAATACTAGTATAATCAAAACATTCGATATATTATACCAGTAAAGATACAGTTTCTATGAAGAGTTGAGGTTGAACGCCATTATGAGAGTAACCGACAAAAAATTGTTTGACAACGTTTACAAAAACAAGCACCTGACTATTTCGAACCTGTTTACAATATGTGCAGTGTACCAATGAGTTTATATTGAGTTTTGAACCTCGCATTGTAATCTTTTTTTTCTTTTTGTTCGAGCTATATACACAAAAAATTTCCAATGTCATCTGTTTTGTTCACACATTGTATACGACTGTCATACAAGTGAGAGGTTTAGTTAGCTATAAAACCAGGTTTAATCCACCATTTTTTACATAAGGAAATGCCTGTACCAAGTTCCTGTACCAGTCAGGAATATGACAGTTGTTTTCCATTCGTTTGATGTGTTTGAGCTTTTGATTTTGCCATTTGATAAGGGACTTTCAGTTTTTAATTTTCCTTGGAGTTCGGTATTTTTGTTGATTTACTATTAAAGGCAAAAAGTGATAATTGCCGAAAGTCGAATAACGCGTACACCAAAATGACTGATCTGAGATTGTAGTATACGTCAATCAGAAAACATGCAAGAACAGAATACATCTGAAAAAAGTATCTTGAGGTTCACCAAACACAACCCAGAAAACATGCAAGAACGGAATACATCTGAAAAAAATATCTTGAGATTCATCAAACACAACCTAGAAAACATGCAAATCGGAATACATCTGAACAAAATATCTTGAGGTTCACGAAACCTAACCCAGAAAACATGCAAGAACGGAATACATCTGAAAAATGTCTTAAGGTTCACCAAACACAACCCAAAACATGCAAGAACGGAATACATCTGAAAAACAATATCTTGAGGTTCATCGAACACAAACAAGAAAACATGCAAGAACGGAATACATCTGAAAAATGTCTTAAGGTTCACCAAACACAAGCCAGAAACATGCAAGAACGGAATACATCTGAAAAATGTCTTAAGGTTCACCAAACACAACCCAGAAAACATGCAAGAACGGATTACATCTGAACAAAATATCTTGAGGTTCATTGAACACAACCAAGAAACATGCAAGAACGGAATACATCTGAAAAATGTCTTAAGGTTCACCAAACACAACCCAGAAAACATGCAAGAACGGAATACATCTTAACAAAATATCTTGAGGTTCACCAAACACAACCCAGAAAACATGCAAGAACGGAATACATCTGAAAAATGTCTTAAGGTTCACCAAACACAACCCAGAAAACATGCAAGAACGGAATACATCTGAAAAAAATATCTTGAGATTCATCGAACACAACCAAGAAAACATGCAAGAACGGAATACATCTGAAAAATGTCTTAAGGTTCACCAAACACAACCCAGAAAACATGCAAGAACGGACTACATCTGAAAAATGTCTTAAGGTTCACCAAACACAACCCAGAAAACATGCAAGAACGGAATACATCTGAAAAAAATATCTTGAGATTCATCAAAAACAACATAGAAAACATGCAAGAACGGAATACATCTGAACAAAGTATCTTGAGGTTCACCAAACACAACCAAGAAACATGCAAGAACGGAATACATCTGAAAAATGTCTTAAGGTTCACCAAACACAACCCAGAAAACATGCAAGAACGGAATACATCTTAACAAAATATCTTGAGGTTCACCAAACACAACCCAGAAAACATGCAAGAACGGAATACATCTGAAAAATGTCTTAAGGTTCACCAAACACAACCCAGAAAACATGCAAGAACGGAATACATCTGAAAAAAATATCTTGAGATTCATCGAACACAACCAAGAAAACATGCAAGAACGGAATACATCTGAAAAATGTCTTAAGGTTCACCAAACACAACCCAGAAAACATGCAAGAACGGACTACATCTGAAAAATGTCTTAAGGTTCACCAAACACAACCCAGAAAACATGCAAGAACGGAATACATCTGAAAAAAATATCTTGAGATTCATCAAAAACAACATAGAAAACATGCAAGAACGGAATACATCTGAACAAAGTATCTTGAGGTTCACCAAACACAACCCAGAAAACATGCAAGAACGGAATACATCTGGAAAAAAAATATCTTGAGGTTCACCAAACACAACCCAGAAAACATGCAAAAACGGAATACATCTGAAAAAAATATCTTTAGGTTCACCAAACACAACCAAGAAAACATACAAGAGGAATACATCTTAACAAAATATCTTGAGGTTCATCAAACACAACCCAGAAAACATGCAAGAACGGAATACATCTGAAAAATGTCTTAAGGTTCACCAAACACAATCCAGAAAACATGCAAGAACGGCATACATCTGAAAAAAATATCTCGAGGTTTACCAAACACAACCCAGCAAACATAGTTTAAACATTACTTAACCCACTAAAAATCTTTGATGAATGCAGGTACCATATAAGGATAAGCAAGTTACTGTTTACAAAGAGCACTCGTTCTGCCGCTCTAAACACGAAAAAAGGCGGGAGATGTTCGCTGATGTCATGGCAGTCATTGTGGTGTAAATGGAAACTTTTGGTGAATAGAATCCTTGTGAGCAAATACCTTCTACTTGGAGGTTTTTCAACACCTTTAAATATTTAAAAGATATATTAGTAGCTACAACCCTTTGGTTTCTTGATATAAATTCAGTCTAAATCTGTGCAAAATATAACTGAATTTAAATTTAACCACAAGGGCATTTTCGTCGTATTTCCTATTGATAATTACTTACATTCTGAACAGCTTTGTGGTTAAATATATTTGACTTTTTGAATTATCTTTGCACTTAATCATTCAAGAGGGATTTAAAATTAAGCTTTAAGACAGATTTTTATTTACGCTACAATGTTCATTTGTCTTACATGCACTAAAAGCGTAGTATATAAGTGACATTTGAAAAATGATTTTAGTTCTTAGAGCACTTACACCATAATCTATTAAAAAAGCAAATTACTCTGGATTACTGACATCTTTAAAAATGAAAATGAACTCACTAAATGCACATCTGCCAATTCTATGGAAGTACTTTTTCTATTATATTGTTCGAAAGGAATTTTATACACTGCTATGTTTAAGTTTCTATTAAAGGAATAGTAGTGAAAATCTCTAACAAAGGAACTTCCTGATCACACATAATTTCTGGTACGAATAACTGAAAATATTTTATTGATTTTAATTAAGACTGAGTGCTAATTCCTATTACATTTATACTTCGACCTGTACTAGATTTTTAACACATTGCATCACCGGAAAATTATATTTATTGATCAAATGTATAAGGCAGCGTAAGTTCAAACTTTTTCAAATTGGGGACATTTATTTATTTTTTGGACTTTTCCCCCAAATAAATCTAGTTGAATTTTATCAAACATATATCTTTTTGTGTCTTCAAGAAGTAAAAATGCAATAAATGTATTGGAACCCCAAGATACATGCATTTAGATTTTTTACACATATAAAAGTGACCACAGAAAGAAAATGCATTTTTTTAACATTAAATTAAAAAAAAAATCATTTTATAAATAAGTTGCGTCCGGAGCGCTTTTCTAGAATTACCTTCATCAGGAACATAAAAGCCAAACATTGTCCAATTATAATTGTTTTATTAGCAATTGTACAGAATTGCGATTTTTCTATTCACTCGGTACTGGATGTATTAAACAAATATGATACGGTTCGTTCATGCTCTTTGTAACAAATTTCCAACTTGTGTTAATCTAGGGTGATGAATAGCTTGACATATAATGTGGAGGACTGTATTTGACCTTTGGAGTTTTTAATTTGCTCTATTGTTTGGTTGCTGTCTTAACGACCTCTTTCCCATATCTTTAATATTCAAAACTAATGTTTTATTAAATGTTTATGAAAATAACACAGTCAGTGTGTTATAAAAGGTATATAGTTTCTAACTCGTGCTTTATTCTTTACAAATTGTAGGCAGGCAAAAATAAATCAGAAGTCTTTATTTTTTTTTACTTTGAAATAAAAAATGAAATTACAGAAGTTTGAAAAATAGTATATTTTTTTCTCTCTTCAAAGATCACAAAATCATTTTAGCGTAAAGAAGAAAAATCATCTATTCGCATCAAAGTTAATGAGTATGGAATGATTACAGAGATCAACTTAATGTCTCGTTTTACTCTTTGTAGCAATGGAAAAGACGGAGAAGATGCCGTTTGATAATCCGGATAAATCAGATGAGAAGCCAGAAGAGAGAGAGACGTGGAACAAGAAGATAGATTTCTTATTGTCTGTGATAGGATTTGCTGTCGACTTGGCAAATGTTTGGAGGTTTCCATATCTTTGTTATAAAAATGGCGGAGGTAAACTATTTTAACAAATTTATGTTTAAACATCACAATGCCATCTTTTTTTCAATCTTGCTGCTGGATAATGTGACCATGTTTTATTGAATAATTTTCAGCAAACCTAAAGACGAGTTACAGTACTTACGTGTCTGTTCTGATACTCTATCACTTATTCCATGTATTTTATCGCACTTTGATACATTTTCTAGTACTTATTATAATTTCTTAACTTGATTCAAAAATAAAAAAAGTTAGATTGTCATAGCACACTATCAGACTTAATATATGCCCAGATAGAAATTAGAGATGCAACCATATTTTTAAAAAGAACACCGAGATTATAAGTATTTATATACTAGTATACAACACTGGTTTACCAACTATCCTCAAAAGTATGTAAGACTATTAGAATACACACCTGAACATCAGATACTCAACTTAATTTTTAAAAGCCAGATTTGAACAAAATTTCATTTGATTATAAAAATATACAGTTATATTTAAAAGAAATGCATTAATGGTATATATGTATAACCTATAACTATTTATGGAAGTAATTATGAAAAAAAACCAGCAAAGTAACATAACACATTATCCAAAATGAAAATATAAAAACACTTTTTGTGTTTAAAGAGTTGACAACGTCAATGGGGATTTGACGTTGCAAATGCATGCGGTTTTAATCGAAACGGAGAATACGTGATATAAAATATATGCATAATTCCTTTTGTATGACATAGATATTTACTTTTGTTTTTGCAGGATGTTTTTTGATACCATATGTAATGATGTTAGTAGCAGCTGGTATACCGTTATTTTATATGGAATTGGCTTTAGGACAATTCAATAGGACAGGAGCTATTACCTGTTGGGGAAATCTGTGTCCGCTTTTTAAAGGTAATATTGGTGTTGTGTATAACACTTTTATCAGTATTGTATATACATGTACTTACAATGTCAACAACTTCATTAAAATGCATAATATGGGTCTTGTGCGTGTTGCCTCTATTCAGGTACCTACGGAAAAGTTAGTGTCATTCTTACCAGTAGCTTTGTCCGAATAGCCGGTTTATGTCTCTCTTGCCAGTAGCTTTGTCCGAATAGCCGGTTTATGTCTCTCTTGCCAGTAGCTATGTCCGAATAGCCGGTTTATGTCTCTCTTACCAGTAGCTTTGTCCGAATAGCCGGTTTGTTTTATTGACTGTCTACACGTTTACTCGTTTAATGAAGGTGTCGTAGGGGCAGAATGTGTTGATCAACGCTTTCCTACTTATATAAAATTAATATAACCCAACGACACAAAACAACCAAAGGACACATCTAGTCTTTTTTCAATTGTTTGCACCTGTCCTAAGTCAGGAATCTGATGTTCAGTAGTTGTCGTTTGTTGATGTGGTTCATAAGTGTTTCTCGTTTCTCGTTTTTTATATAGATTACACCGTTGGTTTTATCCGTTTGAATGGTTTTACACTAGTAATTTTTGGAGCCCTTTATAGCTTGCTGTTCGGTGTGAGCCAAGGCTCCGTGTTGAAGACCGTACTTTGACCTATAAGGGTTTACTTTTATAAATTTTGACTTGGATGGAGAGTTGTCTCATTGGAACTCATACCACATCTTATATCTATTTATTACAATATGTCAACCTATAAATTAAACTAAATCTATAAGAGCGTAGTATTTTTATATAACAAATGTACAAAATGTTCAACAAGTAGATGTTGTTAGAGGATCAGATAGATGTTAATGTGATTTAAACACTTACTGGATATATCAAGCTATTTTATGTACAAAAATATAATTTTGAAATACTTTTAAATCATTTCTTAATTGCTTAAACAACCATGAAATGAAGGCGTAATTATACTAAATACGTAAGTAATGTTTCGATGACCTAAAGCTAATTAATAAATCATGAAAGTTAAAGAGCCATTCGAGATAACCACATGCATGTCCTGACGAAAATAGCAATGATTGATATCTGCTTATCATCTTTAAACATTCCTGTTACACGTGTTCTGGGTAAACACGATAACATTTTCTAAAGAGTAGCTACAGTGATCGAAAATCCTCCACAAAAAGCCAATCATTCGATATATTTAGTGTATATGTTTATTTTGGCATTTTAATTTATTATTGTATTCTACTAATTAACTGTTTTTATTATCAAATTATTTGGCTTGAATCGGGTGGTCTATGTTTCAATGTAGGTCATATGCTGATTTTTAAGTTAATAATTATCAAAATTATTTTATCATAATTGCCCACAGAGGAGCTATCTAAAAACCCTTTTAAAACATGGGTCGAGCAAGTTAGTTCCGCCCAGGGCATAAACAGTTCAGTATTGGCTATTGTCAACACTTCAATGTATTTTTATGATGTTTCATTTTATCTTAGTATTCTGTAAGATTGTCGGCTTTTATTGTAGTAAAGGCATCCAATAATTCAATGTCATTGATTGATTGATTGTTGGTGTTTAAAGCCACTTGCAGCACTATTGGCTATTTCGTGGCGGTGAGTTTTTATTGGTAGAGGAAGCCGGTGTGCCATTGGAGAGCCCAGGAGAGAATCACCGACCTTCGGCAGGAAAATTGACAATCCCAGTCAATCAATATTGGAGTCGAACGCACCTTCCACGTGCGGGATTCAAACTCACAACCTCGGTGTTGGCGGACTATTGATGTAGTAGATGAAATACTTAGATCACTCCGCCAAAGAGGGCCCAATTCAATGTGAAGAAGTGGGGGAATATTTTTTTAATCAGACGCTAAAATTTCCTTTTTTTCAAAGCAATGGCAGTTGAATTCATTTTCAATGTGTGTATTATGAAATTGTTAAAAAGTGAAATAATAGTAAGGGACACACAAATTCACAAGTCTAAGAAAAGTAGACAATGAAATGACTAAAACAAACAACAACAAAAAGGCTAACAATAGTCTACAAAGTACTACAAAGACAATTAGACTTCGCAATAATTTAAACTCAAAAACGTTTGTATGTTTAACAAATCTTTCAAATTTAAAATTATATTTTCCTCCGTATTTTTTTTATGCTGCAACACAATCGCATTTTGTTATTTTTTCTATCGTTAAACGGCTCTTTATGAGGCAATTCATGTTAAACAGGTTTAAAAAAAAAACATCAACGCGACAGCTTTTGCTAGTCTCATTTATGCCGAATGCTAGTTTGATTTATTATCTATTCCGCTAACAAGTTTATACGCAAATTTAAACTGAGATGTCTGGGTTATTTAAAAAGAACAGTTTTCTCATGTGAATTTGGTTTCCAACTGACTGATATTAAAAAAAAAATTAGGAATTTGATGAAATCAATGACACGAAAAATTTTCAAATTCACCACACTTTCAGAAAACTTCTTGTTAAAAGCCAACGTCTTGATTAATTTTTGATACGTCAGTGCTTGTTAATGGTCAATTATAAATCTGTTTGAGTAGTTGAAAGCCGTTTTTTACGCTAATTATTTCGTTAGCGGTACTTTTTTACAGTGAATGATTTTACTTAACTAATTTGTTTCCAACGTATTTATATAATACATAGATTCAAATTGATTTATTTCGTCGATTATTTCGATAAATACTTGAAGGTCTTCATTTCATTCATAATATATCAATTAAACAGATAATCGTGTAGTACATTTCAGTAAAGACGTTCAAACACATTCGAATACATTAAAATGATCAAAAAAATGAAACGGTTTCTGTCTTAGGAATAGATATACATGCATCTTATGTCATTAACTTAACCCCCATCCCCATCAAATCTTTATCAGTGGTTCGATAAAAGATATAGTAAAAGTTAAAGTCGGTTCCACTACTTAAATTACAGAAATTACTGAACCAAGTGTTCATGACGTTTGAATACTCAGGGATTCTAGTATTTTATAGCCGGAAAAAAGCTGTCCAGATTCAATCGAATAGGTACTTTTGAACAAAACTCATGCAAAGACCAACCTGTACTCATATGTAAGATAAGTTGAATATTTCAGAAAATTAAATGTAAAGAAATTTTTCTTGCTTACGTGATGTCTTTCAAAAAGTCACGTAACTTGCTGAACAAATGTAAAAAAAACTGCACACTTGAAGGGGGAACAGTGGCGTACAGACATACATGTATTGTTACCAAAATATAATGAACTTTGAATACAAAAGCACAGAACAAAGTTTTTTGGAAACAGACTAGATGTTGAAGCGGTATAGAAAGAGGAAATGCGTGCCATGTACCTTGAAATATTAAAACCTCTATAAAAAAAAACGTTTACAGTATGTTAATTCAAACTGCAAACAATAAAAATCCTATAGAAACAATACTCACTGAATACGGAATGATAACGTGGTATGGTTGCTCATCTAGGGTAACAATGTAATGAAGAGTGTGTGCAGTAAGACACATAAATTCATTTTGGAAGTCGAAAAGTGAAGTCAGGTCAACGTATGACCTTCAACAGTGAGCAAATTCAATACTGTATAGTAAGTTATAAAAGGCTTGGAAATAACAAAATGTTAAACAAGTCGAACAAAAAATTAGCCTTATACGGGTTTTGTTCCCCTATATTAGAGTCTGGGTGGGGTTTATAAAATAAAGAAAAAAGGGCCAAAAAAATAAAGAATAGAGAAAACTTAACTCCAAAAGTTTTAAAAAAATATACAGTTCGTTACGGAATTGATGTTCTCAAACTGTTTGCCTATTTATCTTACTAAACATCCAGTCTCGAGTGTATTTAATACGTATTATTTCAGAAGTATGTGTCGTTCGAAATGAAATCTGTAACATAAGAAATAACTACTATTTTGTTCTTTTTTAGGTATAGGTTGGGCTGTAGTTTTAATTGCATTTTATACAGACTTTTTCTACAATATCATCATAGCATGGGCCCTTCATTTCTTGTTTAGTTCTTTCACAAGTGAACTTCCATGGAGCTCATGTGGACATGAATGGAATACAGAACATTGTTATGACGGTACATATCGTGGTTCGTCACCTGACACAAATTCAACCAATGGGACTACGTCATTTTCAATATTTGAACCAATAACAGTTACTGCCAGCAGTAATATAAGTGCAAATATAACGACGAATGTCACCCGAATATTCCGAACATCACCTGCAGAAGAATATTTTAAGTAGGTATTGGTGCTGTTTTATCTTACAAAAATAGAAGATGTTAAACAAATCCATAAGATGTTTTTTTCACTAGAAATTAAAATTGTCAACTTATACTTTTTGAATTTAAAGGTATTTCTCCAAGTATCAACATCATTTTGATGTTTATGATATGCATCTGATGCCGTGTTTGTGACCCTTACTTTAACGATAGTAAACTGAGCTTCGGTTAAGTCCGGGCACAAAACAGCAAAATTTGGAATTGAAAATATTAGAATATCCTTGCTTGAACGAGGTCAGACAGATACAGATATAGAGACAAGATGTGTCGATAGTGTAAGCAACTCCTGCTATGACTGATTTAGCCGTCAAAATATATCAGAAGCAAAGGTAAATGTTATAAATCTGACTCCACTAGTTACAATGTCATAGTTAACATTTACGAACCTGACCCCACTAGTTATAACATCATAGTTAACATTAATGAACCTGATCCCACTAGTTATAATGTCATAGTTAACATTAATGAACCGGACCCCACTAGTTATAATGTCATAGTTAATATCAATGAATCTAACCCCACTAGTTATAATGTCATAGTTAACATTAATGAACATGACCCCACTAGTTATAATGTCATAGTTAACATTGATGAATCGGACCCCACTAGTTATAATGTCATAGTTAATATTAATGAATCTAACCCCACTAGTTATAATGTCATAGTTAACATTAATGAACATGACCCCACTAGTTATAATGTCATAGTTAACATTAATAAACCTGACCCCACTAGTTATAATGTCATAGTCAACATTAATGAACCAGACCCCACTAGTTATAACGTCATAGTTAACATTAATGAACCGGACCCCACTAGTTATAACGTCATAGTTAACATTAATGAACCGGACCCCACTAGTTATAACGTCATAGTTAACATTAATGACCGGACCCCACTAGTTATAATGTCATAGTTAACATTAATGAAACAGACCCCACTAGTTATAACGTCATAGTTAACATTAATGAACCGGACCCCACTAGTTATAATGTCATAGTTATCATTAATGAACCTGACCCCACTAGTTATAATGTCATAGTTAACATTAATAAACCTGACCCCACTAGTTATAATGTAACAGTTAACATTAAAGAACCGGACCCCACTAGTTATAATGTCATAGTTAACATTAATGAATCTGACCCCACTAGTTATAACATCATAGTTGACATTAATGAACCGGACCCCAGTACTTATAATGTCATAGTTAACATTAATGAACCGGACCCCACTAGTTATAATGTCACAGTTAACATTAATGAATCTGACCCCACTAGTTATAACGTCATAGTTAACATTAATGAACCTGACCCCACTAATTATTATGTCATAGTTAACATTAATAAACCTGACCCCACTAATTATAACGTCATAGTTAACATTAATGAACCTGACCCCACTAGTTATAACGTCATAGTTAACATTAATGAACCGGACCCCACTAGTTATAACGTCATAGTTAACATTAATGAACCGGACCCCACTAGTTATAATGTCACAGTTAACATTAATGAACCTGACCCCACTAGTTATAATGTCACAGTTAACATTAATGAATCTGACCCCACTAGTTATAATGTCAAAGTTAACATTAATGAACCTGACCCCACTAGTTATAATGTCACAGTTAACATTAATGAATCTGACCTCACTAGTTATAATGTCACAGTTAACATTAATGAACTGGACTCCACTAGTTATAATGTCATAGTTAACATTAATGAACCTGACCCCACTAGTTATAATGTCACAGTTAACGTTAATGAACCTGACCCCACTAGTTATAACGTCACAGTTAACATTAATGAACCGGACCCCACTAGTTATAACGTCATAGTTAACATTAATGAATCTGACCCCACTAGTTATAATGTCATAGTTAACATTAATGAATCTGATCCCACTAGTTATAACGTCATAGTTAACATTAATGAACCGGACCCCACTAGTTATAACGTCATAGTTAACATTAATGAATCTGACCCCACTAGTTATAATGTCATAGTTAACATTAATGAACCTGACCCCACTAGTTATAACGTCATAGCTAACATTAATGAACCAGACCCCACTAGTTATAACGTCATAGCTAACATTAATAAACCAGACCCCACTAGTTATAACGTCATAGTAACATTAATGAACCGGACCCCACTAGTTATAATGTCATAGTAACATTAATGAACCTGACTCCACTAGTTATAACGTCATAGTTAACATTAATGAACCGGACCCCACTAGTTATAACGTCAAAGTTAACATTAATGAATCTGACCCCACTAGTTATAATGTCATTGTTAACATTAATGAACCTGACCCCACTAGTTATATTATAATGTCATAGTTAACATTAATGAATCTGACCCCACTATTTATAATGTCATAGTTAACATTAATGAACCGGACCCAACTAGTTATAACGTCATAGTTAACATTAATGAACCGGACCCCACTAGTTATAACGTCATAGTTAACATTTACGAACCTGACCCCACTAGTTATAACATCATAGTTAACATTAATGAACCTGATCCCACTAGTTATAATGTCATAGTTAACATTAATGAACCGGACCCAACTAGTTATAACGTCATAGTTAACATTAATGAACCGGACCCCACTAGTTACAATGTCATAGTTAACATTTACGAACCTGACCCCACTAGTTATAACATCATAGTTAACATTAATGAACCTGATCCCACTAGTTATAATGTCATAGTTAACATTAATGAACCGGACCCCACTAGTTATAATGTCATAGTTAATATCAATGAATCTAACCCCACTAGTTATAATGTCATAGTTAACATTAATGAACATGACCCCACTAGTTATAATGTCATAGTTAACATTGATGAATCGGACCCCACTAGTTATAATGTCATAGTTAATATTAATGAATCTAACCCCACTAGTTATAATGTCATAGTTAACATTAATGAACATGACCCCACTAGTTATAATGTCATAGTTAACATTAATAAACCTGACCCCACTAGTTATAATGTCATAGTCAACATTAATGAACCAGACCCCACTAGTTATAACGTCATAGTTAACATTAATGAACCGGACCCCACTAGTTATAACGTCATAGTTAACATTAATGAACCGGACCCCACTAGTTATAACGTCATAGTTAACATTAATGACCGGACCCCACTAGTTATAATGTCATAGTTAACATTAATGAAACAGACCCCACTAGTTATAACGTCATAGTTAACATTAATGAACCGGACCCCACTAGTTATAATGTCATAGTTATCATTAATGAACCTGACCCCACTAGTTATAATGTCATAGTTAACATTAATAAACCTGACCCCACTAGTTATAATGTAACAGTTAACATTAAAGAACCGGACCCCACTAGTTATAATGTCATAGTTAACATTAATGAATCTGACCCCACTAGTTATAACATCATAGTTGACATTAATGAACCGGACCCCAGTACTTATAATGTCATAGTTAACATTAATGAACCGGACCCCACTAGTTATAATGTCACAGTTAACATTAATGAATCTGACCCCACTAGTTATAACGTCATAGTTAACATTAATGAACCTGACCCCACTAATTATTATGTCATAGTTAACATTAATAAACCTGACCCCACTAATTATAACGTCATAGTTAACATTAATGAACCTGACCCCACTAGTTATAACGTCATAGTTAACATTAATGAACCGGACCCCACTAGTTATAACGTCATAGTTAACATTAATGAACCGGACCCCACTAGTTATAATGTCACAGTTAACATTAATGAACCTGACCCCACTAGTTATAATGTCACAGTTAACATTAATGAATCTGACCCCACTAGTTATAATGTCAAAGTTAACATTAATGAACCTGACCCCACTAGTTATAATGTCACAGTTAACATTAATGAATCTGACCTCACTAGTTATAATGTCACAGTTAACATTAATGAACTGGACTCCACTAGTTATAATGTCATAGTTAACATTAATGAACCTGACCCCACTAGTTATAATGTCACAGTTAACGTTAATGAACCTGACCCCACTAGTTATAACGTCACAGTTAACATTAATGAACCGGACCCCACTAGTTATAACGTCATAGTTAACATTAATGAATCTGACCCCACTAGTTATAATGTCATAGTTAACATTAATGAATCTGATCCCACTAGTTATAACGTCATAGTTAACATTAATGAACCGGACCCCACTAGTTATAACGTCATAGTTAACATTAATGAATCTGACCCCACTAGTTATAATGTCATAGTTAACATTAATGAACCTGACCCCACTAGTTATAACGTCATAGCTAACATTAATGAACCAGACCCCACTAGTTATAACGTCATAGCTAACATTAATAAACCAGACCCCACTAGTTATAACGTCATAGTAACATTAATGAACCGGACCCCACTAGTTATAATGTCATAGTAACATTAATGAACCTGACTCCACTAGTTATAACGTCATAGTTAACATTAATGAACCGGACCCCACTAGTTATAACGTCAAAGTTAACATTAATGAATCTGACCCCACTAGTTATAATGTCATTGTTAACATTAATGAACCTGACCCCACTAGTTATATTATAATGTCATAGTTAACATTAATGAATCTGACCCCACTATTTATAATGTCATAGTTAACATTAATGAACCGGACCCAACTAGTTATAACGTCATAGTTAACATTAATGAACCGGACCCCACTAGTTATAACGTCATAGTTAATATTAATGAATCTGACCCCACTAGTTATAACGTCATAGTTAACATTAATGAATCTGACCCCACTAGTTATAACGTCATAGTTAACTAGTTGGGTCCGGTCATAGTTAACATAATCAATACTAATGTCGTAAGTAACATTAATGAACCTGACCCCACTAGTTATAATGTCATAGTAACATTAATGAACTGGACCCCACTAGTTATAATGTCATAGTTAAAATTAATGAACCGGACCCCACTGGTTATAACGTCATAGTTAACATTAATGAACCAGACCCCACTAGTTATAACGTCATAGTTAACATTAATGAACCAGACCCCACTAGTTATAACGTCATAGTTAACATTAATGAACCTGACCCCACTAATTATAACGTCATAGTTAACATTAATGAACCTGACCCCACTAGTTATAATGTCATAGTTAACATTTATGAACCTGACCTCACTAATTATAACGTCATAGTTAACATTAATAAACCGGACCCAACTAGTTATAACGTCATAGTTAACAGTAATAAACTTGACCCCACTAGTTATAATGTCATAGTTAGCATTAATGAACCTGACCCCACTAGTTATAATGTCATAATTAACATTAATGAACCGGACCCAACTAGTTATAACGTCATAGTTAACATTAATGAATCTGACCCCACTAGTTATAATGTCATAGTTAACATTAATGAACCGGACCCCCACTGGTTATAATGTCATAGTTAACATTAATGAATCTAACCCCACTAGTTATAATGTCATAGTTAACATTAATGAATCTGATCCCACTAGTTATAACGTCATAGTTAACATTAATGAACCTGACCCCACTAGTTATAACGTCATAGTTAACATTAATGAACCTGACCCCACTAGTTATAACGTCATAGTAACATTAATGAATCTGACCCCACTAGTTATAACGTCATAGTTAACATTAATGAACCTGACCCCACTAGTTATAACGTCATAGTTAACATTAATGAATCTGACCCCACTATTTATAACGTCATAGTTAACATTAATGAATCTGACCCCACTAGTTATAACGTCATAGTTAACATTAATAAACCGGACCCCACTAGTTATAATGTCATAGTATCATTTATGAACCGGACCCAACTAGTTATAACGTCATAGTTAACATTAATGAACCTGTCCCCACTAGTTATAACGTCATAGTTAACATTAATGAACCGGACCCCACTAGTTATAACGTCATAGTTAACATTAATGAATCTGACCCCACTAGTTATAATGTCATAGTTAACATCAATGAACCGGACCCCACTGGTTATAATGTCATAGTTAACATTAATGAATCTAACCCCACTAGTTATAATGTCATAGTTAACATTAATGAATCTGACCCCACTAGTTAGAATGTCATAGTTAACATTAATGAACCGGACCCCACTGGTTATAATGTCATAGTTAACATTAATGAATCTGACCCCACTAGTTATAACGTCATAGTTAACATTAATGAACCGGACCCCACTAGTTTTAACGTCATAGTTAACATTAATGAATCTGACCCCACTAGTTATAATGTCATAGTTAACATTAATGAACCGGACCTCCACTAGTTATAACGTCATAGTTAACATTAATGAACCTGACCCCACTAGTTATAATGTCATAGTTAACATTAATGATCAGGTTGGATTTATGATTATTAACAAATTTAAATATATCCATTGAGTTGAAAATTTTTGTTCACTCTTGTGCGATCAACAAATTTACCGATATGAAGCAAGAACAAATTCTGACATATTTTATAAACTGTGATGTGTAAATATGACTTGCTGTGGCAGATGGTCTGCTGTTACTCAAACATGTATTTTCAGACTAAGAAGTGTTTTGTCATAAATTTCTACAAATTTGAAAGCCTTGATTTTTGAAAATTTATTTTTTTAACTTTTCAATCTCCCCGAAGTTGCCAAAAATTGATCTAAGTTCGCAATTCTTTTCATATGTTTCATCTTAAGACACAAAATCATAATTTGAAAAGGTATCCCTACAGTGCACAATTAGTTAATCTCACTTCTAAAACTTCAGGAACAACTTTTAGAAATATATTTACATTGTCATGGGTTTAAAATACTTTTTTCCATTCACAATTTAAACTATTTTGATCTCTCTGAAAGACAGGAATCATTGAATTATTCTACGGGATTCAATATTCCAGATGAAGAAGTTTGATTTCAGAAATGTTGCTATTCTATCTCTATTATGAGGTCACAATGAAAATAAAAGATATGGAAACAGATACAATGGATAAAATGGGGAATAAGAAATATTCTGTTAGGCAATGACATTTAAATAAAAAAGAATCAAATTTGTTGGAATTTCTATCCATTTTGAAGCCTTGTACAAGTACTTTTGATATTCTTAGACAGTATTTTGATATTTAATATTTTTTTTTCAGTCGTGGTATGTTAAAATTACATAAAAGTACCGGAATTTTTGACGTTGGTGGAATAAACTGGGAGATCACTTTGTGTCTCCTTGGAGTTTATGTAATCTGTTACTTCAGTATGTGGAAAGGAATTCACACATCGGGAAAGGTAACACTTGTCTCATCGAAATTAGTTATGATATAAAATCATCTGAATATTCACATGCCCACTTATATCATTCTGAACTTAATACCAAAACATACATTGCAGCAATAAACCAACTGACAACTGAAGTGTCTACTTTCCGGTACCGCATATTCGTCTCTGTGTAGTATTGCAATATGAATAAACTCATCATAAATACAAGGATTGAAGTGGCTCAAGAATTTTTTTCATTTATAGATATCTTCTCATTTTAATTACTATAAAATGGTATAATTTTCGCGGAATTTTGATATCGTGATTTCTGTTGCTGTAAAACTTTAAATTTTCACGGAGTTTAAACTTCGTGATCTCTATGACATCTTTTCAAATCCGTTAAAAATGAAATTACGTTATGTTGAATCAGATCAGAATGGTACAACCTTCAACCAATAACAGTTGCCAAGTTTCACAATAAATAAAAAAAAATTAACAAAAATTTCGAACGCCAAGGCAAATTCAAAAAGGGGAATTCCATAAAAACCGACAAAAACAAACGCTATCAATCAACGGAACAAGTGAAAAACAACTATTACAATCAGGGTCTATTTGTACCTGCAATACAATTGGTGGACTTATGTCTATATAAAACAACTACATAAATGCTAAAATAACCAAAATGAAGGACTCGGGTATAGAAATATGGTTATCACTGGATTTCTCCGACCCTGCAGTAAAACCATGACTCGGGTATAGAAATATGGTTATCACTGGATTTCTCCGACCCTGTAGTAAAACCATGACTCGGGTATAGAAATATGGTTATCACTGGATTTCTCCGACCCTGCAGTAAAACCATGACTCGGGTATAGAAATATGGTTATCACTGGATTTCTCCGACCCTGTAGTAAAACCCTGACTCGGGTATATAAATGTGGTTATCACTGGATTTCTCCGACCCTGCACCAAAACCATGACTCGGGTATAGAAATAAGGTTATCACTGGATTTCTCTGACCCGGAAGTAAAACCATTGCAAAAGTGATATGTTCATTATGGTGTGGTGCGGGATGTATGAGTATGCAATCTCTATTGGTCGGAATATGGATTTTGAATCTGAAGCCTCTATAGGGAGAGTTCAACGCTCGCTTTAACTGCTCTCTCTCCACCTTGCTTTCCAGTGGCTGTTCAAATTTTCCATCCTTTATCCCGGTGGACTTAACTTAAAAAAATCCACCCATTGTGTAATACCGTTGTTTTGATGTCTTCTTGAATATAAATGCGATAATTGTAATTGGCTGTTAAATGTGCTTTCTGTTATAATTTACATTGGCTATTGGGGTTAAGTTAGCGCGCTTCGAACAATGATGTAATATGATTTAACATTTCGTACTCAATTATGTTCAGTGTGTAAACATGCATTTGATACCCAAGTTGTTTGAAATAATCAGCAACAATTATCATCACAGTAGAAGACTACAATTTCAGAACAAATCGTTTAAAAAGATCGAAATACATTTGATCTATTGATAGTATTACCCCATGTAAAATATAGAGGGTGGGAAATTATAGAGAAAATAAAATAATTGAAATAATTATGAATCGATTTTTTTCTTCCTTTATGAAGTAATATGAAAATACTTAGTATTGAATTTTTATACCTCAATTCTTCACTTTTCATCGTATCTGCTGAGAAATTAAGACAAAACATCGTAATTTAAGGCGACAGTAATTTCCCGATGTTCAAATCTTGTTAAACAATTGGGAAGAGACAAATCAAAGTTACAAGCAGAAACTGAGGAAATCGCATGAACGCCTAAAGAAGAGAGACCTTGTGCATCGACATGGGTACGCGACTCCTGTTATGTATGCGTCACCCACTATGCAAATTTATACTCAGTATAATATCACAATCGAAAAATGGATACAATCGGTAAAATTGCAGATCTAAAGATCTAAGATCGCGAAAACATGTCGCTCACAAGTGAGTTGAGAAACCGACACATCATATCGGTCAACCGATTGAAGAGCATAGCAAGCAAGAAATTCCCAAAAAATATGTCCCAAATACTTCAAAGGTCATCTGATTCTTGAGGTAGAAATACTCTTATAGTGTTTTAATAAATAAAACGTTTATAATAGAAAAATTACAGAAATAGTTTTGTCTGTTCTGTTTTTTTTGTTGTTTTTTTTCGATTTGGTTTTATGCTATCAATCGTATCATAATTTTCTGGCTTTCCATATTTGGTGAACTTATAGTTCCAGTTACACAAATCATTTATACGGGTAGTATACGATTAATGCAAACTAATACCGAACCATTAGCTTTAAGGTGAACGGTCCAATTCAAGGAGGACGGACTAGATTGTTAGTCATCATATACTTTATGTACTGTTTTTCTTATATATGTGCATTGTTTTTATGCCCCACCTACGATTGTAGAGGGGCATTATGTTTTTCGGTCTGTGCGTCCGTCCGTTCGTTCGTCCGTCCGTCTGTCCCGCTTTAGGTCAAAATTTTTGGTCAAGGTAGTTTTTGATGAAGTTGAAGTCCAATCAAATTGAAACTTAGTACACATGTTCCCTATGATATGATCTTTCAAAATTTAATGCCAAATTATATTTTTGACCCCAATTTCACGGTCCACTGAACATAGAAAATGATAGTGCGAGTTGGGCATCCGTGTACTATGGACACATTCTTGTTTTTTTATATATGTGCATTGTTTTTTATGTTTGAGACTATACGCTTTTTATACAGCCTAAGATTAATGTTCAATTTGATAATGTTGATATTTGACAGGTTGTATGGTTTACAGCTTTGTTTCCGTATGTGGTTTTGTTTATTTTGATGATAAGAGGAATGACACTTGATGGCGCCTGGACAGGGATTTATTACTACCTCACCCCTAATACCACAAAACTTCAGGAATCAGAGGTAAGCAAGTTCCATTCCTTTAAACTTTTAACAATAGACACTTCCGTAAAATAGCCTCCTTGCTAAAATCATCCCTATCGAAAAAATTATGGAATGCTGTATTTACTGAGAAATACCTATACTACATTATGCAGGGTTAAATAAAGGCAACAGTAGTATACCGCTGTTCGAAAACTCATAAATCGATAGAGATAAAAACAAATCCGGGTTACAAACTAAAACTGAGGGAAACGCATCAAATATAAGAGGAGAACAACGACACAACAAAAACACAACATTAAAATGTAACACACACAGAAACGAACTATAATATAACAATGGCCATTTTCCTGACTTGGTACAGGACATTTTAAGAAAATAATGGTGGGTTGAACCTGGTTTTGTGGCATGCCAAACCTCCCGCTTTTATGGCATTTTTAACATCTCTTCGACGCCGGTATATCTAACCTTAGTTGGACTTAGTAAAATAAATAAGAGCCTGTCCTTTACATATATTTGTCATTTGTTGCGGTTGGTTAGTGAATTTTAGCATCAGAAGGACTTTGAAATCCTGTTCGGTTTTTTTTCTGAATTTATTTCATCGGAAACTATCTTATCAGGAGCAGTATAGTTTGATAATGAACCATTTTACGAATCTTATAACTATCTAATCATATCGGATACAGATCTAGAACACCAGGGGAATTTAGTAGTGCGTAGTTAGATTGAATGCGGAAAATGTACGATAGGGACAAACGATAGGGGACAATGAAACTAAATTAGCTCACTTAAACATCTACGTTGTTGAGTTGTCCCGAAAATTATGTGTCTTTTTTAAAAGTGCTTTACTTTCAAGAGATCATTAAAATTAATTAAAGAATAACATCCATGTACGATAGTACCTACTTGAGTCAAACGTTTTAATTATAGGTATGGGTAGATGCCGCAACACAAGTGTTTTTCTCATTGGGTCCAGGATTTGGTGTTTTACTTGCATTTGCCAGTTATAATGAACTTCATAATAATGTTTATAGGTAAGTGATTGATATGTAATTTCATTTCCTCCATTTATTTTATAATCTATTTAGAAATGTGTTATATGCATGGAGCAATTTTTAGCCATATGTACGTTAAATATTCAGACAGCAATTACACTTTAAAGGTTCACCCAACAAGACATCTTTGGGTCATTATGTAGTCTGTAACGATTATCAAGAGTCTCGTTTGACAATCTTTAAAAGAATCAGAGATTAAACAAGATGAGAATATCTAGCGAAAATACGAAATATGTGACATAAACACCAAATTTTGAATTGACTCAATTTTGGGCAGAGAAGACATTCTTCTGAAAATGAATCTAAATAAGAAAACAAGGAAAAATAAATATAAAATTTATACAATATTGAAATAGCGCATTCTTCAGAAATTTTATAAACTTTACAGATCATGCGTTTTCATTCTTTTAAAAAAGTTTTTACTTTAAAAAGAAAGGTTAAAATATATTTTACGCACTTCTACACAAGGTCAAAAGCTTGTGTGTCTTAACAGAAAATGGCATTTATTCAGTCTTATTAAGCTGTTATCATTTCAATCTAACCAAAATAAAAGCAGTGAGTAAATGAATTTAAAAATGACCGATCTGCCTATTTTTAAACATTAAAAGTCGATTTGATCATTTAAGGCCGGATTCTTCTACTTCACAAAATCTTGTCAGGCAGAAATTTACCTGTGACGTTACTTTTTGTGGCGTTGATCCATTCGTGTTACAGACACACACTTCGTAATTCTATTAATCTGTTTTTGTGTACTGTCCTGAATTATTTTAGTTATTCGTTGTTATTCTGTGGTTAACATGTCGAAATGTACTATTATATTATTTATTTATGTATTTCTCTGTCTTTGTTGTTTTTGAATTAATTTGTACTCTATTCCCGTTATGTAATGTTGCCATTTTAGCGGTATATTTAACATTGCCATAAAGCGCGGAGGTTTGTCAATCCACCATTTTTTCTTAAAATGTCCTGTACCCAGTCAGGAATATGGCAGGTGTTATTTAATAGTTCGTTTCTTTGAATGTTTCATTGTTGTTTGTTTTTTGTTGCACTTCTGTGTTCTGTTATTTCGTTGTTTTCCTCTTATAGTTGATGTGTTTCCCTCGGTTTTGGTTTGTTGCCCGGATTTGTTTTCTCTCGGTCGATTTGTGACTTTTGAACAGCGGTATACTACTGTTGCCTTTATTTGGTACGGCAGACTAGTATTTTCAGTACGTGTTATATTTTGTGTAAATCAAGGGACAACAATACAAATTTTAATCGCTATCTTATTATTATTATTATAGTTTATTATTATACCATCAAAAATAAATTGAATTACTTGACTTTCACATATTTTGAATTCCTCCAAATATGAAATTAGTGATATACAAATCAATAATTTGCTTCATTCTCTTTATGAACTAATGTTTTTTTAAACAATATTACTTAAAAAAAGAAATGGGTTAATGCATTGTAAGTGATTTAAATCAGCAATACAAACAAAGCTCAGTTATAGAATAAATACGCATATTCCCGAGAACTTGAAAAGCAGCAAAATACCAAAATGTTATCTTTAGAATCACATAGACTGAATGCTTGTTAATTGGTAACGATTAATTTGTGAGCATTGATTCAACAGCAATAGTTATCACAATGATACAACATTGAATACATACAATATTTTTCATGTTGAAACATATAAAAGCTAGTTGTCCAATATTTTTTTCTCTTTAAGAGTGATAATGGCTATTTGATTTTATATTCTTTTGTTATGAATTCTTTTTCATCTTAATATTTTACTTTGAATACCATAGAGCTCTTTCTGCCTCATTTGTCAGGGAAAAGAAAAATATTTATATTAATTTGGATAGTATTGATATATCATATCAATATTAGTGAATCAAATCAATAAGATGTTAGGTGCCGTCTTCACATTTACAGCCTTTGCTCATCTTGACAAACTAATTATTTTTTAAGTCTCTCCTTCAGCGTAAAATTATATTATGCTAAGGATAGTTTGATCATATTGCTCCACTTAAGAATATGCTATTTGGGGTCTTTGTATAATGATACAGTTTTGATAATGATACTTGTCATCTAAATATGGTAACTTTTATTAATAATACCGATCGTCATGATCTAAATTAAAGACAACAGTAGCTTACCGATGTTCAAATCTAATAAATGCATTACGAAGATTACAACGATACAAATCAAGGTACAAAAACATGAAAAGTGTGAGAAAGTCACACGAACTCCAAACTGGCGAGTTTGGTTGTTCAAAAGTTTAACTTAGGCTTACCATTCAGGTAGTTTTGTCACATGGTTCCACCTTTGTTAAAGCTTTGAGTAGACTTTACATGCGATTAATTAATTAATGTTTAGAAGTCATTCTGTCAAAAGTTTTCTTAATAAAAGTTTTGATATTGTTACTAGTATTACATTACAACAGGTAGCCTTTGGAAAAGGGTTCAAGCTTTTTCAATATTTAGGACGTTCATGATTACAGGTCGACAAAATAATTTCTGCACAGGTGATGTTATGTTTTCTGCACATATGATATTATGTTTTCTACAAAAATCTTACTATGCGCCTTTTGAATTTAACAGATGTATTTTTTAGCGTCTCGAGACTCTAATTCTATGCAACGAGTTCTTAATTTTATTTATATAAAACATGAGTTTTTTCCTCGATTTTAAGTTATAATCCTAAACTCACGACTAAAACCAATGTATTTATCCAATTATCAGACACATATTTCTATGGTGTAACTCCAGTTTCATAGACAATTTTAAATAGAAGACTTACAAAAGAGATGAAGCAATTTATTCTAAATTAATGTGCAAGAGTTTACTGGTTGCAGCTATGTTATGATCGTTGCTGTTCTAATCTTAAACGATCCAATCTATTAGTGAAGAATCGTTAGGATGTCTTCTGCTTCCGGAATTCGAATAAAATGACCCCAATATTGTTTTGATAATGGTAATTGGTTGGAAATTGACTTCGTTAATTGGTACTTAGGTCATTATTGTAATGACATCAAACAAAGAGGTTCATATGAACTCTGAGAGATTTTTCTTGTATCTAACCATTTACAGTTTTAGTAAAAGGATTTAAATGAGAAATAAACATAGAACCAATCAGACTAATTTCAGAAGTATTACAGTCACTTTATTGGATTTTTTTTTCTTACCATTCACATACCAAAAACAGATATCAATGAGTTAAACATATATATTTAAAATAATGTTGTAAACAAACTTATGAAAGATACCAGACTTTTACGACATACGCGCGTTAAGTCTACAAAAGACTCATTAATGGCGCTCGAACCAAAAAAGTTAAAAATCTAAAAATAAAATACGAAATTGAAATGCATCACGGACGCAAAGTTCAGAAGGCTCGCCACAGTTCTATACCTTATTTGAAAGCGGATATTAACTTATATAGGAATATATAAGAGAAGTACGGTATTCTGAGTGTGAAAAAGACACAAAACCATATCTAGATGTCGCTAGAGAGATTTTAACAATATGCAAGTATCTGTACAGTGTGACGAGCTCTTAATTCCCGATGGTCTGGTCTTAAAATTAAAGTTTTAACCATGAAAGATTAATGGTATTTATTTTAAATTTGAAGAAAAAAAGAGTTCTTATATTTCTGTCCATTGCAGGCTTTTATGATTTTTCATTTCCTATCGTTAATTATCCATTTTTAGATGGTGACGTTCCCTTGTCACCATCTTATGGTGTTTATATATCTCAACTTTTACGATTCGCTCGTGTATGTAACAACGTATTAGATTTTAGCGAGAGAAATTTATGTATTACTGAAAAATTATTACATCAGGGTTTTCGATATCATAAACTAGTCAAAACATTTACTAAATTTTATCATCGGTATAAGGACATCATTCGTTAATATAACTCAACATGCAGACATCTTATACGTTCGGGTATTTCACATCCAATCTTTTATAGTAATATTCTTTACAAAGCACAAAAATGTCAGTATTCACCTCACACGCTAACAAAACCTTTAAACAGACTTATTAAGAAGGGATATAGTTACGATACTGTTGTCAGGTCATTAAAGATTGCATATTTTGGCTTTAATATTGATTCACTTATAGGGTCTTTGCATCGGAATTAAACACATTTGTTTTAAAACCAGTTGTTGGCATGACACGGGTTATGTTCTTCTCATATATTTTATGACGGTATAATACTAAACCCCTAACAGGAGGGATTGTGCCTGATATTCATATGATGAAGACATAATCTTTCAATCAGTTTAATTGAGATCTGGAGCTGGCATGTCAGTAACTGCTAGTAGTCTGTTGTTATTTATGTATTATTGTCATTTTGTTTATTTTCTTTTGTTTCCTATTCTTACATCAGACTCGGACTTCTCTTATACTGAGTTTTACTGTGCGTACTGTTGTGCGTTTGTTTTTTCTACATTGGCTAGATGTATAGGGGGAGGGTTGAGATCTCAAAAAACATGTTTAACCCCGCCGCTTTTTTGCACCTGTCCCAAGTCAGGAGCCTCTGGCCTTTGTTAGTCTTGTATCATTTTTAATTTTAGTTTCCTGTGTATAATTTGGAGTTTAGTATGACGTCCATTATCACTGAACTTGTATACATATTTGTTTAGGGGCCAGCTGAAGGACGCCTCCGGGTGCGGGAGTTTCTCGCTGCATTGATGACCCATTGGTGGCCTTTGGCTGTTGTCTGCTCTATGGTCGGGTTGTTGTCTCTTTGACACATTCCCCATTTCCATTCTCAATTTTATTTTGTAATGTTTTTAAATCCATAAAAGCATTGAGCTAAACATCAGCACAACAAAATTTCGTTTGAGTAGTACTAGTCATCTATTTAATGAAATGCATTTGTTTGCATAAATGAGAAAATAGTTAATTTGATATAAGAAGATGTGGTAGGAGTGCCAATGAGACAACCCATCCAAGTCACAATTTGTAAAAAGAAAAAAATTATAGG